CATTTAACATGACAGTTGGCACACACACTGTAAGAATACAGTGTGTACTTGCATGTGTTGTATTGATCACTGATATTGCAATAAGGAAGTACAGCCTATTGTGATTAAAACAACTATACAACTGATGGAAATATTCCATTCAGTTTCACCATGCTTGTACACTACACATGTATACTAGAATGAAGTTGAGACGTGTATGTCCGGTGTCAATCTGGCGTCTCATTATAATCATTATAATAAAGCGAAGGCTATACAAGGGCCAGCAACCTTAACACGTTGACTAAGAATTGGTACATAAGCGTACCACGAAATGTATTTCTCCAGGACGTAGTGGTACATAATTCAGGTTGCCTAAAATCGGCCAAATCCGAGAAAAAAAGGCAAAAAAGGCCGATAACTAAAAATATACTAGTTTATTTGTAGGTTCCGTTATAAAAATTCCATTCATTTTCTTTTTGCAGTACTATTTAAAATTTAATTAGGAAGTACCCCTATCATAAACTTTAGCCGGCCAACGCAATTGAGAAAAACTAAATCACGGAATTTGTCCGGAAAAAATGACCGTCTGGCAACCCTGTATAAAAACAGTACAAAAAATGAAATGATAGTACAAGATGAAGCAATCGTAGTCAACGTGTTAAGTAAGCCCCCAGTAGCTGATTGGCATGCCCCAGGGGCAGTCGCTGTACTCAGGATGCATGTACACTACACAGGCCCCACCTTGTATGGCATGCCCCAGGGGCAGTCGCTGTACTCAGGATGCATGTACACTACACAGGCCCCACCTTGTATGGCATGCCCCAGGGGCAGAAGGGGCAGTCAATGCGCTCAGGCTGCATGTGCTTCTCCGTGTGCCACCTCAGCTTCGCTCCGCAGCAGCACGCGAAGCTGCAGAAGCTGCAGTGCAGCAACCGCTTCTCCAGCTGCCTCCTGCTGCTGGTGCTGTGCTTGGCTGGGGACTTGGCTGAGGGGTGGGCTGGGGACTTGGCTGGGGACTTGGCTGCAGAGTTGACTGCAAAAATGACAACACTGATGATATTGGCAGTGAATGCTAAATTCTAATACTTGTCAATATAAATAGCTTGCCATAATGCCACTACAACACAAGAATATATAAAGAATATATAGATATACCGAATGGCATATCGAATGGCATCTTAAAAAAAATTCCATATACTATTTGTAAGGTGCCAGACACAAAATAAAACCATCCTGAATTACCCCTGGCAATGGGTAATCCAGGACACTTGAAATAAAACTCAATTTTAAAATGTTTGAAGCATGCTGAATGTACTTGTACATTACTAATAGTACTCTGAAGTCCTCCTCGTCTTTTGTACATGATCTAAATGTAGAACAAATGACATTTTCTGTGTTTTTTACTTGTTTATTCATTATTGATATGATATAAGCAGACCTATTCAATAATTACCATATTATTGATGTGACATAACTGTATCCATGAACATGCCATTGAGCATTCACAACGACCTTGTCCACTGCAAGCTTCATATTATTTTATTAATCTTTCATTCATAACCTTACAAATTACCAGGGTCAACAATTAAAATATGAGAATTTAAATGAAATATACAATTAGACAATAAAATTGGTGTGCTCATTTTGCATTCTACTATAAAACCAAAGTAACTCTGAATATCTATTAAATTAATAACAGTGACCAAGAGAAATTAACAGTAACCAAGAACAGAGACATTAACAGTAATCAAGAGATTAAAGCAAGAGAAATTCAAGTTAGATAGTAGTTTATTGTTACATTTGAAAGTTTGAATAACATCACACTCTTTGTAATTGTGGCTGCATTTAGTAAATATTGTAGCTGCAATTTACTCCTTCAATATATAAATGTTTGAAAAATATATTTGAGAAAATATATCATATATGTACCGCAGTGCTTCATGCTTTATTTATCTGACTTCAGAAGGTTGTATTACTGCAAATTTCTATTCTTGTTCATAACAGGGTAATAGGAATCATAAGTGGTCGTGACAAGTGAAAAATAGGTAAGCAGCAGTAACATTTTTACTATGTAGGTATATTATTAGGAAGTAATAATGTTACTATGTAAACAAGTGCAAAGGTTATCATATAGGTAATAAAGCAAAACCTAAGCAAAATAGGAGACCCACCACCATCAATCAGCTTTGGAAATTTGTCCTTGACGTGTTGAGGAGCAGCTACATCTTCGTCTAGCTCTTGATCTGCCTCTAGCTGTGCCTCTTGATCTGCCTCTTGATCGGCCTCTAGATCTGCCTCTTGATCGGCCTCTAGATCTGCCTCTTGATCGGCCTCTAGATCTGCCTCTTGATCGGCCTCTAGATCTGCCTCTTGATTGGCCTCTAGATGTGCCTCTTGATCAGCCTCTAGATCTGCCTCTTGATCGACCTCTAGATGTGCCTCTTGATCAGCCTCTAGATCTGCCTCTAGATCTACCTCTTGATCTGCCTCTAGATTGGCCTCTTGGTCTGCCTCACGATGTGTCTGTTGTTCTGCCTCTTGTTCAGCTGAGGAGCTTTTCCAATGCAAAGGAAGGTGAAACTTTTTAATGAATTTCTCAAACCAGTTCTTGTTGGCGCTAAAACCTCGGATTTTGGAAACATAAGCACGTCTTCTTCGTGGGGGCAATGCACTCGAGTCACTGGTAGTAATCTGAGAATATTTTTCTGCATTGTCATTATCTTCATATTCATTATAGACTATTTCAGGAGTGAAGCTTTTATGAAGGGCTTTGGCTTTTGTCCGAATCATATCAGTATCAAGACTATCTAAATCTTTATGATCTGTTATCCACTTTGCTAAAGCATTCTCCATTTGCAACAGTTGCCTATAATAATTAATTTTAACTTGCCCAGGGTTTTGGGGTGCTAATGCAGCTTCACGAATTTTAGTTTCATTTTTTCTCAGCAAGCGAACTGTTGATTCATTCACTTTATAATGGCGTGCAACCCATGCAGTGCGGCGGCCTGACTTGAGCATATCCAATAATTTAACTTTAGTTGTCAATGACATTTTTTTTGACAGCTTCCTGGGTTCAGTGGAGTTTTTGGTAAGACAGTTAGGAGCCATTTTCAAGGACCTCACAAGCACTATTTTGATCATAAAGTCACCATAAAAAACTAGAATTACCACATCTTGAGATTAAGCTTCAAATAAACTTTGACATCACAAGGACTAGTTAAAATTTCTGTTGAGTAGGAAAAATAGAATTTAGTGCGCATTGGTCATCTTTGCTGAGCATGGGAACAATACTGGGAGAAACTACTAAGCCAGTACTGCCTAAACCTGCTATATGTTCCCGCTCTAAGTCAATTTTGCCATAGAATATTCTTTAAATTTGGCCAATTCCCATATAGATTCTTCCTTAAATTTTGTCAATTGCCCACATAGACTGTTCCTTAGATTTGGTCAATTTCCCAATAAATTATTACTTAAATTTTGTCAATTACCTCAGACTATTCCTTAAATTTCAGAATGTCATGAATGGATGAGAGTTAGGATGAAAACATTTATATTGATGGACTAGACTCATCAGCAAGCATGGTCCCATCATTGAGGATGAAAATAAATTTCACAATGGTAATACCCAAGCAAACACTGGGTAAATTAAAAATCTTTTTTCAGTAATTTTTCTCAAATTGGTACAAAATTCCAGGAATCTTAATGTCTCCAATGCAATACATGAAAAACTGAACAAAGTCTCAAGGCAGCTCAGATTTGTAATTATTTTCTATATGGTAAAATCTCTCAGCTCCTTGAGGCCAATTAAAGACCAGGGCTTATGTTTGTAATTTTAAGGTAGTGATAAGACAGTAATGGATCATGTGCACAATCCGCATTCTGCACACAGGCTACATAATGGAACAGGCCTCATGATTTGCATGCATGATAAAATGACTCAAAGCATTGCAGGAATTATCAGGCTTGGGCTTATCTATCCTAGTCCTCGGGCAGTCTCCTAGCATTAGTAATAAATTAATAAATCTTGCAAAATTTCTCAGCTTAAGAAAAATGACTCATTAAGTTAAATTTTGAATGCTTTTGTGTTGGTTTTTACACTGTGAAATGTGTATTAGGATTCCATAAGTAAAATTCAACTATATTCTTCATTATCACTACTACTCAGTATTCAAATTTTAAATTATTTGCTCCTCATGTTGCAAAGCTTAGCAAATTTTTTTCCACAAATTTTGCTGGGCTACATCAATTCCTCCCAGAAAGCAGGAACTGATATGATCACAGACAGAAATGCTGTACCTTTGCTATTACACAAAAATTAAACGGGCAAGAATTTTGTCTATTGTCATGGCATAAAAAATGGTTTTGTACCTTCATACTTTGAAATGTTACACTGATGGATATACTTGGACAGTTGACACAAAAAGATTGTCTTTATCATTTACCAGACAATTTTTATCTTTGTTATTGCTACAGTTATTTTTTTTGCACCATCACATGATTGGAAAATTCCTTGATATTACTAAAGTCTTGCAGTGACATATTTTTGATGTCTTAGGAATTTTGCAGCCTAAACACTTATAATAATACCAATTATATAGGAGATATTTCACCTTGCAGAAATCTTACAGCTCCAAAAGAGGCAGAAAAACTGTTGTGCCAGCTGGGAAAATAAATATAATCCATGCCTGGTCCAGCATGTTACAAGGAATTAATTGCTACTTATTAAAATCTTGTGGCTCCAAAGTTACATACAGTATTTTTGGTAAAATTACAATACTTTGAGTCTGTGGCCTGATTGTGCACTTTTTTTCTTAACAATTAGATAGGAGATAATTTGTGCAGGATTCTTGTGGCTTCAAAAATGGCTTGAAAGCAGTCAGCATGGATCAGAGCATTCTGCTATTTAATTTTAAAGTATGTATATACCGGTATGAAAGAACCTGGGTTTTGGGGATACTGGAAATAAAAGCCATTAACTAGGAAAGAATTTGTTCACAACCAGGCATGGAATGTATCCACTCTCTGAGCCCTGACAAGAGCATTCCCGACATTTTTGGAGCTAGAAGATCCTGGCTAGATGAATTACAAGTTGAGGCTTATCCTATCTCCTATCAAATTGTTAGGGAAGTGCATGAGCAAATGTTTATGGTAATCCGGAAAAACCTAGCCAATAGTTTTTTTCTATGTTTGCAGTCCGTCCGGCCGCCAGGGCGGCAGGAAAAACCTAGCCAATCAATGAAAAACTCGCAGGTTAGGTCCAGTTAGGAACAGGTTCCATTACAAATTTCCGATGCCGACCGGCGACCGGCAAAAACGGATTTCAGATTCTTAATCTACACCCCAAAAAACATATAATTAAAAAAAATGCCCTTTTTTTTGGATGCACTTAATCTAAAGTATTACCCCCATGCTTGTCAAGTTGTCAGCCTGTCAGCTACCTAGTGACTAGTGTCAACTGTCAGTCTGTCAGGTGCAGACAGCTCTGAATTTCTGAAAATGGTGGGAAAGCTCTGGTTGCAGCTCTGCTTGGCCGGAGTAGATATATGGCATTCTATGATTCTAATATGCATAGTGAGTAGTGACATAGGTACTGAAGAGATTTTTAGAAACCAGTTCAATTTTCATTTTTTAATCTAGCTCACAAATTTATTCACTATATCGTCTATAATCTATATGTATCTGATTATGCAGTATTCATTATGTTTCACTGGTTTTATTTTTACACTTGAGAGAATAGAGCCAGTAGTCCCAAGAACAAGGCTGTCACTAGCTAAATTATATTCTACATAAATAACATAATTGTTAACATCAGTAATAATAACAGGTGTGGACAGTGAAACATTTAACATGGACCTGGAAGTCTGGAACATTTAAATTTCAATCAGACTGAGTGTAATATACTTTAAAAAATGTGATAGACTTTCACAGTATTTTTCCAAATATGTACATCGTCACGCATAATTTGACAAAACTAAGTTTGATTGATTGGGAAACACTTAAAATCTCAAGACGCCAAAGTGCAGACTCAGACTGCAGAACACGTGACGAACAATGGATCGATCGAAAACGGCGGAGAATTAGTTGATTCCGTAACTGTGGGAACTGTTGCCGTGTGGCACCTGGAATTCCACTATAACTATAACAAGTGATGTCGGAAATACCAAAATTTCATATTAAATTGGATCTAGAACATAAACCATGACGTTTGCGACAGATCTACCTGAGTCTGCTTAAATACGTTCAACGACCTTATCTCCTGTCATTTCTACTGAAACCTGACGATCGCTTCAGGTTTCATAGGTTCAATGCTTATATCTCGGAAAATATTCAACACAGAGAGAGCGCAGTGATAAAGTAAGGCGAATCGATCATTTATTCCATGTTAATCACCACTCCGTACTCGATTATAACATTCAGCACTCGCCAACAGTGCTTACAGCAGCATTACCGCGTGCGGTTTAGCTAGTTCAACGCTTATAACTCGGAAAATACTCAACCCAGAGAGTGCGGAGTGATGAAATAACGTGAATCAATTTTTTATTCGTTGTAAATCACCACTCGTCACTCGATAATAAAATTTAGCGTCTTTAATTCACTTGCTAATAGAGGTACTAGAGCTTCTTTGGATAATACATGTAAAATCAGCAAATTTATATCAATTCCATCGCTCTTAAATGTGCAAGCTATATGGTTTTTAGTATTAATTGAATGAATTACATGATTGAGAAACTTTAGGCGACGACCTTGTTATAATCTCATGACCCCTTTCCCTTACAATAAATTCCATTTGGTATCTTTGTTGGATGAAATGTTTTTAACTAGGATGAAAATAGATATTTCTTTATAATTTGCACGTGCAACATTGTTAATAGTTATTATAATTAGTATTATTCTGATATCGCGCACATGGGACAGAAGGTTTACCCTTAGGTAGCCTCCTGCGGTTTGAAATACAGGCTAGGAGGTACCATTAACAACACCGCTCGCCCACACAAAACATCGTTGTTGTGTCAGTTGGTTTCTTGCGTGCAACTCCTAGAAAACAGCGTTAACAATTTCCCACGTTTTTTTGGATCTATTTCTGCTAAGAAACAATCAGTGGATGAAAAGCCTTGTGGAACTTTGATTGAGAAAAAAAATTTCAGGCCATGTTAGTACGTATATCCCAAATTTGATTCCTAATAACGTCTCATAATTATTTAACATTCTATTTTTTTACATTCATTGAAATTATATTCTCTTTTTTCAACAGAAGGTTTTAGAGTTATATTGATCCCACAGACTTTTTCTGCCCAAAAGCAGACGTCCACTCCTCAGTCGAAACCGTTTTTCTGACGCTCGATGTCCAGATGTGCAATGCTGATTGAATGTCCATTCGAATTTTTCGGATTCCTTAGGCTGGATTTCCTTAAGCGCTTCCAAAAACTGCGACAACATTTAAAAAATCGGCCTATTTATTCAATGAGTGCTGTCCAGACATGCTATTGCCTTGTGATTTGGGCAAACTAAGAACAAACTCCAGCTGTTTCCTTCCACGTTCACATATTATCAAGTCCTTTTCTAAAAGTTTTTCTCCAAGTCCGTAACTCAACCTTCGATCAGTGCTGCCATGCATCTTCAGGCTTTCCACAATTTTAGTGTCCACATGTAACATGCTTGTAGGCAGGGTGGCCCAGTGGTTAAAGAGGTGCGGGTTCGATCCCAGCTCTGTGTGCCAGTTTCTGGTCAGAATCGGCGATGAGGCCGGGCGGTTAAGCACAGCAGAATTGTAGCAGTGAGTTGCGAGTTCAAGCCCGCAAAATGCTGTGAATGTTCTGCGACGTTAAGAATCGGCAACAGACCTACGGCCTAATAAACGCTGAAACCGCTTTTATGCTTGCTTGTTCTGAAGACGCACTTGCTTAATGAGCGACACTCGTGAGCAAGTAAACGCATCAACGATGTTATCGTTGATCCACGACCTGGGTTCCAGACTCTTGAAATCGTGATCGTCAGGAACGTATGGACCAATGTGATGAGATACATTTTCTTTTTCGGTCGACTGCTTCTCTTCTTCAAGTTGTTGGTCAGGCTTCATTTCCTTCTCTGTGTTTGAAGGGGCTGAGTGTTTGGTATTTTCGAGTATGTCTGGAGATCGGATCAATGAACTGAGAGAAGAATCACTCTGTTCATTTCCCTCAAGAAGCACTTCTTTTGAAATTTCTTCTCCCGTTGCTGCGCTGGT